GTAAAATCCTTTCGACATCTAATTTCCCGATTAAATCTTGGGTATGATTTTAGTCGAAACCCAAATTGATTTAATAACTATGATTCTATTTCATGTTTAGTAATTCATGTGTGAATCTCTATTCATCCTGCCTTGGCCAAGGACTTTGAATTACTAACTATGAAATACATAGGAAATTCTCGTATCTTCATACGTGTCGAATCCTTTGTTGGCCACTAACAAACTTCCATACATATTAACATAATACCCAAAATATCCCTTTATACGATTGTGCTAGCAACCAAAAGGATAAATCAAAGTAGAACGTAATATGCACAAAGTTACCATTGTGCCTCAAGTCTAAGGATTAGTCCTGTACTATTGTAACATGAAAATTCTTATTCGACAGAATAATTAACTAAAATAATTCTTCATTAAGAATTTTCATACTGTCATGTTCAGTGAACTTGTTCTCTAACAAGCACCCACATATATGTATTTGCGTCCCACGCTAATGTTGATGGAATGCAACATTCTTGTCAAACAAGCATACATACTATGTACAAGTCTTTTATGGATTATTCGATATCCCTTTTCGAAACATCCATCGACTTGGAACTTTATTTAAGACCACAACTTTCAAGGTATGTTCCATGATCACCATCTCTATGCACAACCATACCTTATAACTATATGTGATCTAGGGATTTTATCTTAAGTGCAAATATAGGATAAATGCTTACTCTTAAGATAAAGTAATGCCTTTTAATTAATATAATTCCAACAGATTGTATTTACAAGTAGAATACATCCAATCCAATTGGAACGCTGGGTATACTACTTTAACACTCTAGTACCAATAGGTTGTTCCAGGTGCCATCTATTATCATAACCCAGCTTCCTACAAACTGTTCTAGTAAAGTCAATAGATTTTTTGGTCTCAGATAAGAAAATTACATTAGGCTGGTGGACTCTTCTTGAGTCCTTGATCTAGGAAACTGTACAGGGCCCACCCAGCCCTCTACAGTTCCACACCATGGCCTTCATTTGTCACCTTGGGGCCATTTGAGGCTGGCCTTCTCCACCTTTGTCTCCACATTAGACTCTTTCCTCCTCTTTCCTCTCAAATCCTCTTCTTTGTTAGTTGGATCCTCTGAGAATGATACAATTTCTCTGTTTCTCTTCAATGGTTGTTGAGGTGATGACTGATAAGGATTCTCCAAGCTGCTCAGAACCTAGTTCTGGACCTCCATCCTCACAAGTCTACCTTCAGTGGCTGCTCTTCTTTTCCACGTGGTGACTAATCTTGTACCCTTACCACCCTCTATAGATGGGTTCTTATCCAGTACTTTGCTCTCTACCAATTGGCCAGTTGAGGATTCCACATCCATATCCTTCTCTGTCCCCTGGTCTGCCATCTGGGAAGGTTCTGCTACAGGAACTAGCTCCAACCCCCCCACCTCCTCATTTTCATTTGCGCCCTCCAAGTTGTCTCCTTCATGGGTCACCGTGTTTGTGGCATTTGGATCCCTAGTGATAGGGTGGACCTGTTCAGTAATAGCATTAGCTGACACCAGAGATTCATTATGAAAATGTTGTTGGGCCTGGCTGTCTTTCTCCCCTGCACTGCTAGCTTGACTGTATCTCCCCCCAAAGTAGGTTTCTTTCGCCTTCAGCCACTCCCCATATTGCCCTTCCGCCACTGCTTTTTTCTCAATATCCTCTGCTCTACTAGAACAAGCCCTATCCAGGTGCCCAATCCTACCACAGTAATAGCATAAGTTTACTAACCTTTCATATCTGAATGCCACCAACACTCTGAGAGGTCCAAGTTTAACTGATGTGCATCTGGGAATAGGTTCTTTCAAATTCAGAGAGACCAAGAGTTTTAAGAAGCTACCTTGTTCACCTCCCATTTTGCAGATAACTACATTCTTGACCCCATTAAATATCTGTCCAATCCACATCCCAACTTCTGTGCTCATCAAAAGAAGTGGGATATTAAGTACTTGGACCCAGATGAGGAGTTCTTCAAAACATTTATGCGAGCTGTTCATACCTGGAAACCACTCCTTCAAAATGAGGTATTGGTTCTCATATAGCCAATTATGTCATGCTGCCACTTTCCTTTTATCGTCTTGGGAAGAGAATGTGAATTGGAAGAAGTTGGAGCTGATTTCTTTAACTTCCATGGCATGCTGGAGTTTCCATATTGCGCTCATGGTACGTTTAACCCCCATAATCCCCGCCGGTCTATCTCCAACAATTTTTCCAAAGGGACTTCTATTGCATTCTTCTTCACTATTTTTCACATCGTCCTGCTGAAGCTCAATGTCCCTAGCTTCTTTGGCAGAAAGAGATATAGCGTGCAATTTTCTCATGACATCTTCGCCCAATTCGCTAGTGGATGTTCTTCCCGGAGATTTATCCCCCATTGCTGCACACACCAAGGAGCCCTAGAAAGAAAAAGGGTCCTAACGAACAATATCAAATGCCGTCGCCTATCCCTTACTACTTTCCACTCTACCAAGAACCAGATCACTCGATCAGAATACAATGCACTTCACCGAAGGAATTTCGCTCCCACCAGAAGAATTTCGCTCCCACCTGAGAGAATTCAATATTTTTAACAATTCAACGATTCAAGACTCTACGTGTCATCAAATCTGAATGGACATTAATTTTAATTCGAGTTTCATCTCTTTCAATTTGTTCGAACTTTATTTTATTTTATTTTTTTTTTTAAAAACAAAAACACCCAGCGGGGGGATTGAGGCTGGATCCCCAACCTGCATATAGTCACGGCCCTATATGGGCTACAAAAGTCACGGCCCTAAATGGGTTACAAAAGTCACGGCCCTAAATGGGCTACAAAAGTCACAGGTCTACATAAGTTCAATAAACACTGACGAGGAAAAGAAAAACACAACAACTAAAGTTACCACCTCACCAGCGAGTCTCGAAAATGGTCCAGTTTTTTCTTGTTCCTCGTGCTGCGCCTAATCTTCCCGAAAGAGTTGGTGTAGATCTGGGGAGAATGGGGCCGGGCAGAGGGGGAGGAGAGAGAAATGATTGGGTTTTTACGCATGTTTGGGGCGACAATAAAGTCATCTTCAAATTCAAAAAGGCGGGCGAGTGGTTTGGGGAGTCCGGTTCGGAATCAGTAGAGCAAGACTCAACAATCACTGAATTTGGCTTAGGTGAACTTGGCTCCAATGAGTCAGGTACATTGCCTGGTCCCGCTTCAAGGAAAGAAGATGGCACAGGGATTTCGGCTGGGGAAGAAACCGGACCTATACGGAGGGGTTGGTTGGAGCCTTGCCATTAGGAGGTCTCAAGTCCGAAGGAGTAGGGTCCGGGGTCCGGGGCAAGAGATTGGATAGCAGAGGTCGGAAGAGCAGAAGAAGGGGGAGAAATATGAGGAGAGGGTTCAATTTGGGGGGTTTTTTCCCTGTTGATTTTGGTGGGACGAATGGTTGGATTTTTTATGTAGCAAGTTGAGCATCGTGTCCTACATGAAAACAATAGGAACAATAGTTTGGTAAGCGTTCAACCTCGACACTAAGTTTTACGCGTTTATTTCCGCAAGAGACGGCGATACTAGTGGGATGGGGGAATTCAAGATTGAGAGCTACGCAAAAACGAGCATATTGGAGCCGAGTTTTTTTTAGTGTGGCATCATCGACTTTTAAAAGGGTGCCAAAGATGTTGGCGATTGTTCGAAGAGCCTTTAAATCAAAGTAATGAAGGGAGAGAGCTGGGATTTTGATCCAAACCGGGACAATAGGTGGTTCTTTTGAAATCGAAATCGGCGGACCACTTGAAAATCCGCATAGGAAAATTTATAATAGAGATATCGCGTTTCAACCAAAGTTTGGTGGATGTGTTTGGATCATCGACTTTGATCAAGATGTGATTGGCATGAAGGAAAAGAATTTTGCATCCGGTAAAACCCAAGAGAGCGAGTTTCGACCGAATAGCCTCGTTGGAGGGCTTGTTCGTCATACGGATAATAGTTTCGAAAACTGCCCAATAGTTTTGATTTAATAAATCCGGTTGCAATTATATAATGATTTGGATATCAACATACAATTTATAATAGAGTTTTTAAAATAGTGTACTAATAACAAATAATATATACCATTAAATCTTTTTTATGAAATGCACAACTATTGAGACTGAGATTTAAAAATTATATTACCTTTGGAAACAGAGTTTTTTATAAAAAATAAAATAAAATAATAGATTGGTAAGCAGTACCGAGTTTATTATCACATGTTCAAATAAATGAATTGTCATAATTTATGGAAAATGATATTTAAAAAATATTTTTAGCGTTCAATATTTTTTTTGAAAGGCACGCATATAACGACTAAGATTCTAAAACTTTTGTTACCTTTTGAATTAAAAATTCATAAATATATAGACAATGATTTTAATGTTGTTCGTTGTTTGTAAAAAAAAATAAATAAAAATAAAAAATACAAACTTAATAGATCGTAGTCTGAATTTTTAAATAATAAAAAGAACTAAAGCCATAAATTTAAGACAACATTTAATGTTGTATGATTTATAAAGAAAAAATAAGAAAAACAATAAAACTTAATATTAATGGGTTGCATTCAATTCTGACCTATTTTTTTGTTACTATTTTTTATAAATGGTTATTCTTTATTTTTTATCGTTAATAAATGATTATTCTTATTATAAATAGATTTCCTTCATAGCAAGTAGGAACCTTACTCTGTAATAATTTTTTGTCATATTTCTGTCATAAATTATGATTTAAAAATTATTTTCTGGACGGTCTATTTTTTTTCATCAATTAGTGCATCAAATTTTTTAAATAAAATTTTTATTTTAATAATAAATTATACAATATATTTTTTAACTCTCAAGACACGTAGGCAGTGTAGCAGTGTTTATGAAATCCCAATAAATCGTAGCGTCCTTTGTAAATTTCATTGTCAAATTGCTTTACAAAGTCTGTAGCGAGAAAAAAAACCGTAACAAGAAAAGTGATGGCCGCGGTCACACATCTATCTAATCTGTGCTTCTCAAATGGCTCAACGAAGACGCCAGCGCGTAGCAACCAACCATCGGTGGCTTCTCCTTTATCACTCGTCGTGGCCCGTACGATTCGCCGTAAAGCGTTCCCCGTGTGTCGTATTCGCAGCGAATGTAAGCCCTTACCTTGCCGTCCGATGAGCACTGACCGGACGACGGCGCAAACAACTCCATCCTCATCTTCCCCAACATCATATCCTTGGATGATGCTCCCCCCCGTCTTGGAATCCGACTGCACCACCACCGCGGCTTACAAATTCTACAGCCTGGCCGAGAATCGGGTCGTAACCCTAACCTGCGAAGGTGCGGCCCGAGAAGTCACCGGCAGCGGCGATGTGATGCACTTCAGGGGATCCTCCCACGGCTGGGTCGCCCTCTGGAACCCCCGCACCCACGATCTGTTCCTCTACAACCCCATCTCCCGCCGCCACATAACCCTTCCCCCATTTCACCAACTCCCGAATTACAACCACAGACAGGATTACGACCCGTTTCGCGTGGAGAAGATCATCCTCTCCTCCTCCCCAGACGATGAAACCTGCCGGGCCGTGATTATCTACAAATTGGAGGGAATGATGGGCTTCTGCTGCCCGGGCCGTGGAGGGAATGACAAATGGGCCCCAATGGCTGACGTCAGGAGCTGGTGGAGCCCGGACGACGGGACGTCCCCATATAGCAGCTACAAGGACTGCGTCTACTCCCGGGCCCACGGGCTCTTCTTCGCCTTGACACAATGTGGGTGCTTGGAGTCTTGGGACCTTCATGACCCGTCTTCCCCTGTCTCGACTCGGATTGCAGACCGAATGAGTCTACGCGGGTTTCCCCTGTGGGACCACACGCCCATGACTCGGATGGTGGTCGCGGGCCGGGACATCCTGTTTGTGACTCCACATAGGACAGACATATTGGACTGGGAGGAGGGATTGTGTGGGGAAGATTACAGGATCTTAGAGCAATATCCCCCGAGTGTGACTATTGATTTCGATGTGGACAGATATGAGGCGGAGGGTGGGGATCTGGTGAGGTGCTCCTCTCTCGGGAATTGGGCTGTTTTCGTGGGGAACTGCAGCCACGCGGTTGCGGCCCAGCTGCCTGGGCTCAAGTCCAACTCCATTTACTTCACGGATTTGAAAGACACCGAGGTGTTTGAGAATGATGAACTGATCAACGGCCACGATGTTGGGATTTTGGATTACGAGAAGAAGACCGTGTCACCGTGTTATTATCCCGTAGATGCCCGCAGACTCAAGAAGATTTTCCCAGGGCCTATGTGGTTCTTCCCTAGCCAAGAGTGAGTAGGGTGTACACGTTTGGAATTTTTAAATACTTTAAGATTTTAGAAGTATTTAACATGGACTTTTTGAAGACTTTTAAAGTCTTCATTTGAGATTTTTGAAAGTCTTAAAAAAGTCTTTAACTTATTTGAGATTGAAATTTGTTACACATTTTTAAGATTTTCAGCTGAAACAATAAACCTTTGTACGAAATCTCTTTCCAAATCCATAATAAGATTTTCGTAGGATTCCTGAAAATTTTCAAGTCTCAAATCTCAAAGTCTTCAAATGTCACTCAAAATTCCAAACAAATACTATCATCCTCTCCGGACTTGTTTTCATTATAGAGTCGGTAAGTTTTTCATTGTTATACTTCATGACTGAATATTATTGTGTCAGTGTTATTGTGTCAGTATTACTAGAGAATTATTGTTAAGTGGAAAGTTGGTATTTTTTTTTTTCCATACAGTTGGTCACATTTGGGTACATCGCTCTATGATGTTCGCTCACAACTTTAGTTATTTGATTAACGGAGGATGAAAAATTTGGTCTTTTTAAATCTGTTAGGTTAGCTAACTATGTCTATATGGCATGGCATCATCAAGAATTATGACTCAATTAAGCACAATTGGGAGGCTTGTTTTATAACCGGCCAAGTTATGTAACTGTTTTATTCAACTCACATTGGTTTGATTGTAAAGATACTTTCGAGGGAGGAACCTTCTCCAATAAGTGACCACCCTTTTGAAAGCTTTAGACAAATCTCCTGGCAAAGCATGTGTAATTTTTTTTAATACATTGATCTTATCAATTACATAAATCTAAATGAAGGTGTAGAGTCAGTTTGCAAAGCATTTGGCTTACACAATCTCTCAGAAATGGACAATTTTTACTTATTTTTCTGTCTCTCTATCCTCCCTTTCCCTTCTAAGTTTTTCAGTGATTATTGGTGGTAGTTGGTAACATTCATGGTTTTTGTGGCATATTTTGATTTGATGCTTTAAGGGGCCGTTTTTCAGTTTATAATGTTTTCTTTGTGAGAAAAAACTTTAGTCTTTCTCTCCATTGGCAGGGAAGGGATGAATTTATCCTCTTTTGATGTTTTTTTGTGGTCTGATACGCATTTCACATTAAAAAGAAATGAAAAGAATTACCAAGCTGTTGTCGGCGATTAGGAGGGACCTTCATCAGACCCCTGATAATCTTTTCATTCTTCTCCTCTTCCCGTTTGCCGCTCATTTTCAAATTCTCACTCAAAACTAGAAATCAACTATTATCCCTCCAAAACAACACAACACGAACTACACGGCCTCTTTAGCTTCAATTCGAGTGAAATAGATAGAGAGAGAGCTAATCAATAAACAAAATCTAGGGTTTTAGAATGATTGATTTATCAATCAAATCTCAAAAAATGATATTTTCTCCCTCTCTCTTCTTCAAATCGATTCCTCTGCACTCTCAAGAGGGTTCGAATTTTTGCAGCAATTATTATGTTCTGCATCATTGTGACCCTTGAAAAAGGCTAATGCCAGGCTAGTCCTGTTTTGTTTTACTCGTGTTTGTCATGACAGGAATTGTCCTGGCAACAACACATTTTCCTTGTAATGTAGAAATAATTTTCCACTTTAATTTGAGTCCTTGGAGTTTGGAGTCAATTGGTAAAATGGCCAAAAGATAAGCTTACCTCAACTTTATATAGTATATAGAATAATGATCAGACTATGAGTTTCATGTCCAATTTATATCCTTATGATTATTTCAAACTCCAAGGACTCAAATTAAAATGTAAAATAAAAATGTGATGTTGCCAGGACAATTCCCGTCATGACAAACACGAGTAAAACAAAACGGGACCCGTCAGGATGTGCATTGGTGTTAGCCTTTTTCAACAGTCACAATGATGCATAACATAATAATTGCTGCAAAAATTTGAACACTCTTGAGAGTGCACAGGAAAGGAATCGATTTGAAGAAGAGAGAGGGGGAAAATATCATTTTTTGAGATATGATTGATAAATCATTTATTCTAAAACCCTAGATTTTGTTTATTGATTAGGCCTCTCTCTATCTATTTCACTTGAATTGAAGCTAAAGGGGCCGTGTAGTTCGTGCTGTGTTGTTTTGGAGGGATAATAATTGATTTCTAGTTTTGAGTGAGAATTTGAAAATGAGCGGCAAACAGGAAGAGGAGAAGATTTCTAGTTTTGAGTGAGAATTTGAAAATGAGTGGCAAACGGGAAGAGGAAAAGAATGATGTGACTATCTTTATATGGAACGACTCACCTGATCAATATTGTTTTTTCAGTATGAGATCAATTCACACCAATAGTCACATTTTTTTAAATTATGAATTTACTACGAGAAATTCGATGTGTAATTTCAAATTCTGCGCATTGATTCGTGATGGGAGAAAATTATATTCCATAATTTAATATTGGTAGCAATTACAAAACAAGGATGAGCAGTTGGGATGATGATTCTCTTAATATTATTTAATTCAGTTGCCCTTGTGATTTTTGGTTTGACAATTAACTACTAAAAAAAGATTTTGATCCTTTCATTTTCTTCTATTTTCTTTTCTTTTATTTCTTCTTGCTCACTTGTTCAATCACCCGTGTTGAGAATGTGTAAAATTCCTGTGTTCGGAATTCCTGAGCGAATTATGTGATAGTAAATGAAAATGATTCAAAACACCATACATTTTTTAAACAAAATTGCATACTTATGTGTGCAGTTGAAAAAGTCAACTAGACTTGTGTACAAAGATAATCCTTCAATTTTGAAACTTATATGAAATATACAACAGAGCCATTTTGAAGTTGTGTATAGTAATTTCTCATATTCTTAATTTTGGATAAAAGGAGCAATAAGCCATTCCATTACACCTCAAGAGTAAGTCTTGAGGTATCTAGACAACTCACAGGAGAAGAAGGTTCGGTTATAACTCAATCGCTAGATTCTTAGTAAGTTATAAGCTGGCAAATCGTTCACACTCGACACATCCTCCAATGCCATCTCACGTTGTAGCTGTGATCTTGTAGACTTTAGAACATCCTACATAGTACAAATAAACATTAAAAAATTTCAATAAAAGCGGTATTACGTTAAACTTCCAAGATCCAAAATCTATGCAAACTTACGTTGAATTCCATATATGAAGCACGTTTTGCAAGCCATTGAGCGTCCAATAATCTGAAAGCAACGCAGAAAAGGTTGTCAAATGCCATGTCATCGTAGCTGAGTATTTCCAAAAACCGTAGCCCGTGTTGGGCTCAGATGCGCAAATGCGGAAGGTGTAAATTAAAACACCAACGTGAAATGGTGAATAAAAAAATTCTTGCAATCAAGCAGGAATAATTCTTTTCTGATGTGGAAGATCAGATTAAACTGCAATCACAGAGCATACTAAGAATATCCCAAATAAATAAAATATGCAAGAAATAAGACACCAAGATTTAACGTGGAAAAACCTCCAATGTAGAGGAAAAAACCACGGGACAACCTCCGAACAATTTCACTATATTTTCAAGATAATTACAATATCTTTTCACACTCCCCTATACTAGAAATGTAAAATATAGTGACCCAGTGAGACCCCACTCCTATTTAAATATTACAAACAAGGAGTAATAGAGATGATACCCGTCCCGGTGTATTTTTCCCACACTCACAGGATTTACTCAAACACTCTATTTTTCTCTCACTGAAAAATACACACAAGAATACTAATCTTTCTTCTTGCTGTTTTTCTTTCTCTCGTTGGTGTGTCTTAAGCTGTGACAAATGCCCTCTATTTATAGGGAAAATTGGCAGACAACACCTTCCTCACTTCTTCCTTATTCTCCTTTCTTTTTTATTATTTTATTAAATTTTCTTTTGTCTTTTCATAATGATGCACCGAAATGTGCACCGAAAGTGTGCTGGATCATTTTTTTTTTCTTTGCTTTTGCTGGATGGATCCCACAGCCCGGCCAAAGTGCTAGGGTTCCCTGCAAAGATGATAGAAAATTCAATCAATGAAATTAAATAAAAAGAAAAAAATAATATTAGAAAAAAAATATGGAACCTGACATTCATCATATTTTCATGCATTATGAGTGATATATTGTGATATTAGGCCTTGGTTATCGTGTGATTGTGCACCATTTTGTTTGATTTATTAATCTATGATAGAGGTGTTTTTGTCGTTGGTTTTGCAGGAAATATGCCCGGGAAAGCGTTGAAAATGGAATCGGGACGAAAAACAGCGAAAACGGGTGCAGAAGAGGTCACACGACTCGTGTGGGTAGTGACACGGGTCGTGTGGGTTGAGAAAATAAGAAACGCAGCTACGGCTTTTTCACACGGGTCGTGTGGGTTGAGACACGGGTCATGTGGCCTCACACGACTCGTGTGACCCGGTCGTGTGACCAGTCGTGTGAGTCTGGAAGTTTGCCGAAACGTTGAGAAAAGTCACACGACTCGTGTGGCATGTGACACGACTCGTGTGACGCGCAGACTAGTTCAGCGGGGAATAGGATTCTTGTGCGATTTCTTCCCTTTTTCGACCCAGATTCGCCCTACAGTATAAAACAGACCTTAGGAACTCGTTTTTGGGACTTTTGACACCATTGGAGGCCTAGAGAAAGCACGAAACACACGAGGGATTCGAGGAAGTCAAGATTGAAGATTCGGGAACTAACGGCGACCATAGTTCTTCTTTCTTTTCTCTTTTTCTTCTTCATTGAACTCATGGATTTATTTATTTTGAGTTTTGAGAATATGTTTAGTAGCTAAACCTATTAGATTCTAGGTGTTTGTCCCATTTTTGTTGTATTTTTCGTTATTGTTCTATCATTCTTTTTCCCCCGTTTTAGGTCCTTTCGTGAGTTTTTATTCCGTTTTGTGTTTTATTATGTGTTTTGTTCCATTTTTGTTTTCTTTGTGTTTTTCGTGTGTTTTTCTCCTTTTTCTTCTTGTTTTTGGTGTGCAGGTCGAAAGTCTCGTGAGGAGCCGATTTAGCTCAACATAGACCGGGCAAT